AGAATTGAAGTCCTAATCTAGTTTACTATCTACCATACGAATTAGTTTCCAGATGATTTTTTCAAATCAAATTTCATGAGAGGCAGGAGTCTCTTTAGCTATTCATTTTTTCCTATGTCCTCCCCCTCATCTCTGCCTTCTTGGCCATTGGGAAATGTTGATAAAACCATTTTTGAAGTATTTTAGAAACTGAAGCCCTTAGTGGATCAAAGAAAAAAAGAAAGAGGGGCTTCCCAAACTTAATACATAATATGCAACACAGCGGAAAACTGTCAGACAAAATACAGTATTGAGATAAACAAGCGAAACGATGCAAAATCACTTTTTAAAAAAGGCAATTACCTAGAAACTGCAGAAAGAAAAAAAGACAAGGATAAAAGGAAGGAACCCAAGTGTCCATCCATAGATGGATGAAGAAAAAGTGGTATATATACATGATAGAATATTATTCAGCCATAAAAAAGAATGAGATCTTGCCATTTGTGACAACATGGATGGACCTAGGGAGTATTTTGCTAAGTGAAATAATTCAGACAGAAAAGGATAAATACCATATGATTTCACTTATATGTGGAATCCAAAAACCAAAACAAACAAATAAACAAAAAAGCATTAACAGACCCATAAATACAAAGAACAAAGTGATGATTGCCACATGGGGGACGGGCAAAATGCGTGAAGGGGAGTGGGAGGTATAGGCTTCCAGTTATGGAATAAGTCATGGGAAAAAAGGTTCAGCATAGGGAATACAGTGAATGGTACTGTAATAGCATCGTATGGTGACAGATGGTAGCTACACTTGTGGTGAGCACAAGATAACATATAGAGTTGTGTACATATGAAACTAATGTAACATTGTGTATCAACTACATATGTCAATGAATAAACAAAACAAAATAATGATAAAAAGCATTTTGGTAGAAACACATACAATGGCAAGTAAGTTTTCTAATTCAAACATTTAAAAATACTGATTCTTATTTACAATAAAGATGCAAATTTTCTGTAAAAAAAAAATACTGATGCTTAAAACAAGGTTAGGTTAAATCTTGACAGCTTACCAGAGGGAGCCAAGAAGCTACCACCCCCCCTTCTTCAGAAAACACTAAAACACCTCAGATTCTTTTCAAAGAACACTTCATTTTTTTTACCATGGGAAGCTTTACTCTAATCAAAGTGAAAGCAAATTTCATAATACAATAAAAAGGAACTATCAACATCCCAAAACATCAAGAATCTTATCTACAAAGGTAAAACAAAACATGGGGAAAATTTCAGAATGTTTGCAAAAGTTTACAAGTACTGTATGTTCAATTAAGAATCAAGAACATATAAAATAGACTTTTTTATAGCGCCTGGGTGGCTCAGTCAGTTAAGCGACTGCCTTTGGCTCAGGTCTTGGTCTCAGAATCCTGGGATTGAGCCCCGCATCAGGCTCCCTGCTCGGCAGGAAGCCTGCTTCTCCCTTTCCCACTCCTCCTGCTTGTGTTCCCTCTCTTGCTGTCTCTCTGTCAAATAAATAAATAGAAAATCTTAAAAAAAAACATATAAAATAATTACAAAAAGAAGAATAATTATGTCTACCATAGTCATATAAAATAAATAAATATATACCAAGAAATCTGCTTAAAAAATCACCTGTTTAAAAGATGAAATGGTCTGGCAAAATTGACATTCACATTATGTACATAATTTAATTTCAATCTGTATTTTGAAGACTTTTGTTTTTTTAAGTAATCTCTAGACCCAACATGGGGCTCAAACTCACAACCCCGAGATCAAGAGTCACATGCTCTTTGGGGTGCCTGGGTGGCTCAGATGGTTAAGCGTCTGCCTTCGGCTCAGGTCATGATCCCAGGGTCCCAGGATCAAGCCCCACGTTGGGCTCCTGGCTCGGTGGGAAGCCTGCTTCTCCCTCTCCCTCTGCCTCTCTCCCTGCTCACGCTCTCTCTCTCTCTCTCTGTATCTCAAATGAATGAAGTATTAAAAAAAAAAAAGAGTCACATGTTCTACCAGCTGAAAATTCAGTTCTAAAAACCTCAACTTTTTCATATAGACTTAAAGGCTCTCGTATCAAACATGGAAATAAGACATTTAACCTGAAACACTGAGTATTTTATAGAATAAAAGCTATAAAAGTATTTTCAACACAAGGATTCTAGCCACTAAAGCCTGGGGGGTGGGGAATCTACCACCGCCATCACTATTGTTTACAATATACTGAATAACAAAAATGTTTAATTTCAAAAATTTAAAAATATTGAAGATGTCCTGCAATATTACTAATCAAATAAACTGACAAACCTCCAGCTATATTTTGAGTATTTCTCAAAAAACCTCAAAAAGAGCAAAAAGAAAAAAAATATATTACTAGAATATTTTTGAGTAACACATGCTCAAATTGTTTTTTTTAAGGATTTATTTTAAAGTTTTATTAAAGTAATCTCTAGACCAACATGGGGCTCAAACTCATGACCCTGAGATCAAGAGTTGCATTTTTTCCCACTGAGCCAGCCAGGTACCCCATATGCTCAAATTGTAAAGTTGCTTACCACATGTCTATAAAATAATTTTCTTTTCTTTCTTTCTTTCTTTCTTTTTTTTTTTTTTTTTTTTTGAGACAGCACAAGTGGGAGAGGGGCAGAGGGAGTGGGAGAAAGAGAATCTTAAACAGGCATGGAGCCTGTTTCTCAGTGTGGAGCCTGACACAGGGCTGGATCTCATGACCCTGAGGATCACGACCTGAGCTGAAATCAAGAGTAGGAAGTTTCACTGACTGAGCCACCCAGGCACCCCTAAAGAATTTTTCTATAGGAGTTTTTTTTTAAGTGGGGAAGGAAGTAAGCTACATTCTCCATTAATTCTCAAAGCCTGTTTTATTTTGTGAATCAATTCAGCCCACACTAGTTCAATATGGTCATTAAACCTTTTCCCTTATGTATTTTTTTTTTTTAAGGCAACAAACATTCATTAACTCACAGAGTTTCTGAGGATTAGGAATCTAAGAGTGTCTTGGTTGGGTGGCTCCAGGTCAAAGTCTCTCTCGAGTGGCAGTCAAGTTCTCATCTCTATATATTACTTTTTAAAGTTATAAAACAAAGAATTGACTGCCCCTGCCAAAGTTAAATTCCATGATGATAGTGAACTCAGCTCCATAACATTCGTTTACATTGAAAAACCAACAATCTATCACTAATTCTCACATTTTAGTGCATTTTTTATGTAAAATACCTTCAAAATTGTCTAAATTATACAAACTTCACTTCCAACACTACATTTAAAGATATCTGAAGTCCTACATAATTGAGTTCAATTTGCTAAAGCAAATGAGCCTAATCTCATGAAGATTTCCTAAGGCATTAAAATAATCAGTATTTTTTAAAGTCAAAAAAGACACAAAATCTGAAGTCCTATGCAGTACAATAGAGAATTCACTAAGTTATGTATTAACCATAGTACAAGATAATGAGTGAGATATATTATTCTTAGCCCCCTACTGAAGATCAAATTTGTTTCAATTTAATATTAGAAGTTAAGTTAAAGAAGCTAGGGACTTCAATTTCCTTTATATGTCTAACACTGAAAGAGGAAAAACATTTCTTAATATTCTATCATAAAGGAAAAGTGCTAGAGAAACTTTCCTTCATAACCATGCTTCAAACATCGCTTTCAGTGCCTTGATAAAAATGTATCATACAGGAAAACATAAGCATCTAAATTAAATATTCCTTTTGGTATCTTTTCAATTTGATAGACTGCAATATGCCATGGAAGTCCTTATTATTTGAAAAATTTCTAGAGTTAATATTAATTCTTCAAGACTATTCATATTATTAATATTTGTCATCATTACTTCTTTATAAGAAATACATGGCGTTCAATTTCCTCAATACTCTAAAATCAATCTCCTGTTTCCCCTTTCCCCAAAACAGAACGTTACTCTATTCTATTTAGCCAAAAGAAAACAGCAAACACATCTTTGTGGTCTAATCTGGGAAATCAGTGTTTAGAAACCAATGCAACTGTTATTAAGTAAGGGCTCAGAACCAAACACTGTAACAAAACACACTGAGTGGATCCTCCCTGTGTATGTACATGCGCCCATTCATAATAATGTGATCCTCATATATGCATACAAAATCTCAATTTCTACTGAATACCAGAACATCTTTACATAACACACAGGTTATAAGAAAACTGCCCTCTCTAATGTTCAAAGAAAGAACAATTTCTTAAAGCTAAGGATGAGAAGAGTTAATACCGGGATTGCTGCCACCTATCAACTTTAATTCAAAGCAAAGTACAACTCAATGTCATTTTTACCTCTAATGCTGCCACGCTGAAACAAAATTAACTTCACTGTGCCATAAAGTATCCTGGCATCCCAGTGGATTATTTACTTCCCTGATTTGACATTACATATGTGTGGAGTCTTTTGTCCCTCACATCATCTTAGTCAAGGCAAATGACGGGCAAATCCCTCAGGTCATTACTTCGAACCTTAAGTACCAAAAAGTCATGGCCTTCATCGTCGTTACTACACAGCGAACACTGTATAGTCCCATGCCCCCTTCTATTATATTTGGGGAAGCGGGGTGCGAAAGAAGCGCTCGGTGTATCCTGAGAATCCTCTGTGTTCAGTCCTGGTACCAGAAACAGCATGAATACAAGTAATATGTGGGTCACCCACAGAGAGAGAAACAGACGAAGCTTCGTGACCCTCCAAGTTCAGTGAAGACACCAAAAGCTTCTCGGGAAACCGGGCACAAGCTTTCGGGGAAAGGGGGGGCAGAAGCAGAAGGTCTCCGAGGTGGAGTGACTAGATCTGGCACAAGCCCAGGGCGTGGGCAGCGACCGAGGAGTCTCTCGTACACTTCCCCTCCGCACCAGGGTCGGTCACTCCGCTAGGGGTGCGGCCGGAGGAGGGGGTCAGGACTGGGGGAGGGCGGCGCCCGGGGCACCCCAGCAGTGCCCTGGGGGTTCGGGGGGGTGTGTCCTACCTGGGCCGTGGCGGACGCAGGGATTTCGGGCGGAGGGCTCGGATCCAGCTCAGGGCCAGGACCCGCAGAGATCAACCCTCAGCAGGTGGGACCGCCGCCGCCTGCCCATCCCCCGCCGCCAACTGCGGCGGGACCCGAGCGCGGCTTCGAGGGCCGGCCGGCTTGGTAGTCCCCTCGGGTACCGTCCGCGTTTACTGGCGGCGGCGGCGGCTGCTGTTAATGCTGCTGCTGGCCGCCCCCAGCCGCTGCTGTTGTGCCAGCCCCCGTTCCTCCTCCTGCCGCCGCCGCCGCCGCCTCGTCCCCACCGCTCCCATCGCCGCTGCGGCGACTACTGCAGCGCCCGCTGACCCGACCCGACGTTATTCTCCCCCTTCGCAACCCGACACAGCCTAGCCCACCTGTCCTCCCAGTACGCACGCCCACCTCTCCGCCACAGGTGCTGATTGGAGAGCGCGTCCCGGGTCCGCCACGTCGGTTGGCTGGTCCCATTGCCTATCACGAAGTGGGCGGAGAGTCAGGCCGGGAGCGTCTCCGCCCCCCACCGGAGAATTGCCGCTATCTTCAGGTTTGCCTGAGAGGGCGAGTTACCGGGAAAGGAGCATCACAATGGCAGCGCGCATGTGCGCAGGAATTCTGGGCCTTGTAGTTCCAGCAACAGCCGCAACTGCCCGCCGGTCCGGAGTCGAGAAGTAGAGCTTCTGAGACTAGTGCTTGAGGCACAGTGGTGTCCTCCTAGCTCAGTAGTTAACTTGCTTATAGGGGCATGATTGTGACCCCAGGATTGGGCTTTTTGGAAGAAAATCGGAAATGCGTTGTTACATTACGAATTTACACACTGAGACAGTCACGAAGAAGGGCCCCAAATCGTGAGGCCCTACCATGCCACCTCCTCAGAACCGGAGCTGCCAGGATCTGACAAACTGGCGCTGTCCCCAGAACCGCCTGACATGAAGCTAATCACTAGGGAGAGGCCTAAAGGTATAAGGAGGAAAGGGGACGGAGACATCCAGAAAAGAATACCAGCCTGGAGCCCGAAGTATCCTTACGGTTTGTGCAACCCATGGACAATGAGATTTACTTCCCTTTTTAAAACACGCCCAGCAAAGGGTTCAATGAGCATCCCCTGCGAGCACCAGTATGGGAATCTAAGCGCGGGAACGCGGGAGTCCCTCGAAGACTTTCAAGGAAAAGCGAGGAGAGCAGAGCAATGAGGTTGTGTGGGATAAATTTGTATTAGGTGTTGACTGTGTCAAGCTCTTTGGTGAAGAGTAAACCTTAAGATTAAACTGCTCCCATCCTCACCCACCAGTTTACAGAAGAAAAGTCTCAAAGGGATTTAACAATTTTCCAAGGCTATAAAACTAAGTACTGGCAGAACCAAAACTCAGGTCTCTTAAGTTTACTCCTGTGCCCAATGCTTTTTTTACTTAATAATCAAAATGACTCCCAGGAGTCGGCCAGGGACTGAAAATAATGACTTGTGAGCTTCGTATTACTTTAAATCTTTCTCTTCACTCAAGTGACATTATGATTAAAGCTGATTAAGAGTATGGAAAGGTTAAATATAAATCCTATATTCAGTCTCTGAACTGTTATAGAATCTGTTTCTTCTTGTTCAGGAAATGCCACAGCCTCTCGACATTCTTTAAAAAACAGCAGATACCTCGACTGTCATGTCTAGATCCTTGGATGAAAAACAGGACAAAGTGTACATTAAAGGCAATTGATGATGCAGCTCATCTTGTTCTATTCAAACTTAAAGAAGATGCCAAATTGTTTCCTTTCCACTGATTAAAACCACAAGTTGTTTTTCCCATCACTTTGTCTAACAGAATATAGTTCACTTCACAATATTGGCTGGGCAAATAATTTGAATTGGAAGGGATTAGGGTTTCTGCAAATGCTTTTCTTTAAAATTAAAGAAGTTTATAGGGAAAAAAGTCCAGATTCATTGAAATTATGCCTAGCAATATTTCAAATAGCTATTCTCTATTCAAAGAGAATATTTTTCACTCAGCAAATACAGTGTTCTCTTCAAGCTACCCAGATATAATCTCTGCTATCATGGATAAGGTTTTTGTTTGTTTGTTTGTTTGTTTGTTTGTTTAAGAGAGGGGAGAGAGAGAGTGTGTGTGTGTGTGTGCCCGCTGGGGCTGGGGGGCTGGGGAGGGGCAGAGGGAGAGGGAGAGAGAGAATCATAAGCAGGCTCCACTCTCAGCACGGCAGAGGCCTGGGGACAGGGGGGCTCAATCTTACAATCCTGAGATCATGACCTGAGCCAAGATCATGACCTGAGCCGAAATCAAGAGCCAGTCACTTAACCGACTGACCGACCCAGGTACCCTGGTAAAGATTGTGATTGATGTAGTCACAGAATTACTATTTTATTTATTTTAAATGTATCAGTAGATAGCTGGATTCTCCAAATATGGACAGATGATTATTCTTCTGATTGTTATTTTATAACCAACTCCATTTGCAAATCCATGAAGGGTAGGATAAATAGAAGAGTATGTGAGAAAGCAATCCAGTAGCTGTATATCAAGAATGAATTTTTATTTTAATGCAGTGCAGAGGGAAGTGTTCTGTGATGAGGATCTTGAGAATAGGGCAGTAGTATATCTCAGAGTAGGAAGTGTAAGATTGAATATATAGTGAAAGTTATTGCCACAGGAGTGGGAATCCTGGGATATTGAACTGCTCAAGGAAAACAGTTTCCCAAGTCTCCCTTTTACTCTGATCTTTTCCATTTAAGAAGTATTGGGCTGTCCCAAGAGGTATTTTTTCAGTTAGGATAAATGGCCAGGTAATGTATTATTCAAGAGCTGGTACTAGAATTCAGGAATCCTTTATGAGATCTATCTAACTATCTATCTATCTATCTATCTATCTATCTATCTATCTATCTATCTATCATCTATCTATCATCTATGTATCATGAGGGTTTTTAAAAATAAATGTGGTAGCCAGCCTCTAAGAGCTGGTACTAGAATTCAGGAATCCTTTATCAGATAGCTAGCTAGCTAGCTAGCTAGCTATTGTGAGGGTTTTTAAAAATAAATGCGGTAGCCAGCCTCTAAGATTGCCCACAATGATCCCTACCTCCTGGTATCTTCACCATTGTGTAGTCCCTGAATTGGGCTGACCTGTGTAACTAATAAACTTTTTCAGAAATTATGGTGTGTAAATTCCAAAACTAGGTCATGAAAGACTTCACAGCTTCTGCTTTATGTTCTCTTGGATCACTTACTTACAGGGAGGCCATTTGCCATAAAGCAGGATGCTTAAGCAGGCAGCCCTTAGGAGTAGCCACCTGGCAAGGAACTGAGGCATTGCATCAATAATCAGCACCAGATTGCCAACCATGTTAATGAACCATTCTTGAAAATAGATCCTCCACCCCCAGCCAAGCCTTCAGATGACTACAGGCCCAGCTGGCATCTTGACTGCCATCTTGTGAGCTATCCCAGTCAAGAACTACCCAGCTAAGCCATTCCCCAAATCCAGACCCACAGAAACTATGTGATATGAAAAATATTTACTGTTACGTTAAGCACTCAGTTTTGGGGGACAATTTGTCATGCAGCAATTGATAACTAATACAGTAAGATTTCTGAAAATAATAGAATAAGAAATGATTTAAGTCTAGGGATATCTGCCTTGGATAAATGCGTCTGAAAGAATGAGACTCTCATCCTAGGATCAGTCTTAGAGCATCTTCAAGGATAATGAGCAAATTTTAGATTTATACTGATTCCCCACCCAGAGCATAATGCCCCTTTCAACACCGCTTCTTTTCTCCCAGCACAGAATAAATAACATATTTGAGAACCTTTTTCTTTCTCCTTTTCTCCATTTGTGGCAACCTCTACCCATCTTTAGACACCCATTGATTTACCACTTTCTAACTTTCCCCTAATCTAAACAGGAAACGATCTAAATGGGTTATTTATATCATTATCAAAAGGACAACAGGGGACAGGGCGCCTGGGTGGCTCAGTTGGTTAAGCGTCTGCCTTCGGCTGGGGTCATGATCTCAGGTTCTGGAATCAAGTCCCGCATCGGGCTCCCTGCTCAGCAGAGAGCCTGCTTCTCCCTCTGCCTGCCGCTCCCCCTGTTTGTGCTCTCTCTCTGACAAAAAATAAAATCTTTAATTAAAAAGAAAAAAGGACAACAGGGGTGACTGCATGGCTGAGTCGGTTGAGCAACAGACTCCTGGTTTCGGTTTGGGTCATGATCTCAGGGTCCTGAGATTGAATCCCACTTCCCGGGTCCCATGTCCAGCTCTGTGCTCAGTGGGGAGACCGCCCCCCACTCAAATAAATCAATTAAAATCTTAAAAAAAAAAAAGACAACACATGAACACCACAGTATAAACCAGTGTGCAAGTCAAGGAAACGTGACCCCTTCCCTTTTGCTTGCTGTCTCTTCAAAAACAAATCTCATGTTGTACACCTGATACCAGCATAATGTTATGTCAATTATACCTCAACAACAAATCTCAGAATTATATACTTTAAATGGGTGGATTGTATGGTATGTGAAATATAGCTCAATAAATCTGTTTTTAAAAACTGCACAGTCCCGGGGCGTCTGGGTGGCTCAGTCGTTAAGTGTCTGCCTTCGGCTCAGGTCATGATCCCGGGGTCCTGGGATCAAGCCCCACATCGGGCTCCCTGCTCGGCGGAAAGCCTCCTTCTCCCTCTCCCACTCCCCCTGCTTGTGTTCCCTCTCTCGCTGTGTCTCTGTCTGTCAAATAAATAAATAAAATCTTAAAAAAAAAAAAACTGCACAGGCCTTTGAAACATGAACAATAGTGGACTGGTGCTCAAGTGTTTCCACAAACTAGGAAACAGCCCTGTTTTTAAAATTTTTCATCAATCTTACGAGTTTCTATTTGAATCTTGCTTAATCCACTCAACAAAAAATTTTAGGACCTATTAATGCCAACTACTCTGCTAGGTACGGGGGAAACAAATATGAATAAACTCAGTCCCTGTTTCACAATGGGTCAGCAAACATGTAAATCCTACTACAGTGCATTGCAATAACTGCTCTGAAAGAGGAATATTTGTAGCACATATAGTGCTCTAGAGTCAGTAAGCTATAGCCTATGCCAGTCAAATCCTTGGGGTCCTCTGAGAGCATGGTCTCTTTAAGCCAGTGTCAGCTGCATTCTCATTTTGACAGAGATACATTCATGCCAAATGTATTAACTACCTCAAGTATTTGTGTTTTTGAAAA